ATCACCCCCCTTCCTGTCTAAGCAGATTCTACTTTTATGCATCAAACCCGTATGAGTTAGAAAGTTAGACCAATATAGAAGAACTGAATTCTGGAAGCCGTGCCAAAAGCAATCACTAGTATTGCCTGTCCTCTTCCTGCAACTGATCATTTTCCCATTACTGACTGACCATGCACTGTGTCTGTGTGTGGATCTTGGCCAGCTTGGTAGAGGCAGGGTTTTGCTTCTTCATGCCAGATCCTCCAGCAAGGAGAACAGTGAGCAGTATAGTAATGAAATCACCAAAATTCACTTCACAACTCCAGAGACTAGCAGCAAGAGGCAGCAGTGCCTTAAATCTCACACTGTAGATATACAGTTATGAAGCTGTAGACACAGGAGTACCTAGGCACCCTCACATACCAAAAAGTATATTTCAATTTTTTCAGCAGGAATTTCAGCGAAAAAGTAATTTTATGGGGTACTGCTTAGGCACAAGTAGCTTTTCTAGATGCTCCCTATAACATAGCAAATCTTCACTTTTCTCATTCTATTCCAGAATGCCATACCAAGTCCGGGTCCTCACCGCCAGAGAAAGACAATTGTAAGGAGGGAGGCGATAGAGAAAAACTTTTCTCTCATAAGTAAGTTAGGGTCAAATGTGGGTGGTAAATAAAACTTGATCCAGAATGTTGCCAGTTTATCAATTTATCTACCAGTTAGTATTTCAAAGATCATGACCTTGACCTCCATGAAAGGAACAGTCTGAGTTTTTCCACACTTGAGCGATTATCCTTTTTGCTGCTGTGAAAATGGGTGAGACTAATTAGAATTGGGTGTTGGTGCTTCAAAGGAATTTTTACGAAACAACCTACATGTGCCTGTATAAATAATTTGATCGCAAAACTTATAACTTTAGGGCAAACCCATAATGTCTAAATGAGCTTTCTGTTGGGCAAAGAGGGAGTGTCACGATCAGGGGTCAGGCTTGAAGAACAGTTGCTATAGCAGTGGAAAGGCTCACCTGAAACCATCAGGATAGGTACACAGGCAGGTCACCGTGGCGGAGGAGTGGGCTCACCTGAGTTGCGGAGTCTAAGTACCAACCGGTGTTCACCAGAACTCCTGATGGTGGAGATGGATTTTGCTGAGTGTCAGGTCGCGGTCCTCAGTATCACCCCACCAGGAGGTGAGCAAGCATAGGTCCAGTAGCGTATAAGCAGGTAAGGATCAAACGGAAGAGTGGTCAGTAAACAAACCAAGGTCGGTAATGAGCAGTCACAGGTTGGGATCAGACAGGAAGTGTAGTCCAGAATGAGCAAAGGGTCAATAACGAGTGGCAGCAAAATATGGATAATAACAGAGAAGACAAGGAACAAGATACTGGCTGGAGAGCACAATAATCTGGCAAACAGGAAGTGCAGATTCATGGCTTATATCAGGAAGTTCATGGGAGGAGCAAGGGGTTCAAGGTTCATGACAAACAAGGTCAAGGTAGGATCAACCAAATAATTGTCAAGGAAGCTGTCCAGCATTCCAGGTGGCATAGGTCCAGTAGTGTATAAGCAGTAAAGGATCAAACGGAAGAGTGGTCAGTAAACAAGCCAAGGTCGGTAATGAGCAGTCACAGGTTGGGATCAGGCAGAAGTGTAGTCCAGAATGAGCAAAGGGTCAATAACGAGTGGCAGCAAAATATGGATAATAACAGAGAAGACAAGGAACAAGATACTGGCTGGAGAGCACAATAATCTGGCAAACAGGAAGTGCAGATTCATGGCTTATATCAGGAAGTTCATGGGAGGAGCAAGGGGTTCAAGGTTCATGACAAACAAGGTCAAGGTAGGATCAACCAAATAGTTGTCAAGGGAGCTGTCCAGCATTCCAGGTGGCTCAGCAAGAAGCAACAATACCACTTACTGCAGAAAGCCCAGGATCGTACCCAGACTCTGACAGGGAGTGAGTTGGAATCACATGGTAGATTCTCAAAGGGACTAAGTACCAGCAAAGAAGTACCTTGAAATTTGCCTCCACTTGGGCAAAACATTTTGCTATGTTGGTCCACATGGGAGACAAAATGGACAGGTGTGTGGGATCCAATTAAACGGTTGTGTATATTTATTGATACAGGACAATGGCACACTTACATTCCAGCAACATCCAGTGTAGGTACTGTAAGTACCAGACAGAAGCGCACTTTGCTCAGACTTATGTAAAACCCTGCTAATGGCCAATAAGAAGCTGCTAAGATCGTTGACCCAGAGCAGTGCTTTTGCTACCATGTACTCTCCTGGCTGGACCATGTGCCAGGTGAAGGGGCAGCAACACTTTTCAAAGGAGTTTCCTCTTTGTCAAGACCACAACAAAGAGGAAACTCCCTAGAAACACGTTGTCTCCTGTGTACTAGTAATGATCAATAGGAGGAACCTGCAGGAACCTATCCACAGTGTACTATGGATCTTCACCATTATTGGACATTACTTCCATTCTTTTCACCATTTGGACTGATGGTAAATATTTACTTGTGTGCTTGTAATTGCTTTCCACATCTGGGTTTAATTACATTTTAATAACAAGACATACAAAGCATGCCATCTGTGTTTTTTATCTGGTTAAAATCATTCCTTGCAACCCTATAGTACAATTACTAAGTCCAAATTAAGAAAAGGTTAAATGTCATGATGTGGTGTACCCACAAGGCTGTGGGCAGCATCATCAGTACACAATGTGATCACCTTGTCTATCCATTCACTGAATGAAGGAAGAATGACACACCAGACAAGAGCGTACAAGGGGGGCCCTGTCTATATTTCTGGATCCTTTCATTATTTTGACATGCTGTTTTTACTGAATATTTCCTCTGCAGATGTATTTTTTTCATCATGAGCTCGGTTTCATTTGCTCTAGTTTGTGACAGATCTAAGCTGATCACAGACATATGAAAAAAAATATTTTAAAAAGATTGTAGCGTTTTTTTTTTATGTTTTCCTCTTTTCTTGGATACAATTTTTATCTTTGCCAAAAGTTTCTCTTTTTGCATTCCTTTATTACTTTTTTAAACTGACCCTTGTCTGGCTCTAGAAGAAATTGGCTGATCTGTATTCTCTTTTATTTTTCTATGTTGCTTTGTATGGAGGCTAGGGTCCATCTACATTTCCATGATTGCCTAGTCATGATATAGAAAATTCAGTGTATGATGGGAGTAAGATTTTGTTATGTGGCTTGTTATTCATGCAAGGTGTTTCTTTAATGAAAAATGCAGATTTAAATAGATTGAAAATGATTTATATTAATTTGGTAATGTATTTATGAGATTTTAATGATTGGGTTAACATATACAGTAGTGTAATGGAAAAGGGAAAAGTCCTGGACAGGGGTGGACTGACAACTCATGGGGCCTCCGGGCAATAGGGGATCATGGGGTCCCTGTGTCCTTGCCCAAACTCAAAAAAGCCTATGAAAAAGGTACCAGGAGCATCTTATGGGGCCCCCTACTGACCCCGGGCTCTTGGGCAGTGCCCGAATTTCCAAATGGTCAGTCCGCCCCTGGTCCTGGAAAAAACCCTGTAAGAAGGTATATAACAGCCTCAGCCTGTGCTCCAATCAGGCCATGCTACCAACGCGTTTCACTCCCCCTACGGAGCTTAGTCATGGGAATCATGTATGGGGATGTAAGTATGTATTTTCCATACCAGTGGGATCCCTCTAGAAGCTGGATTTGACTGTAGGAGGCCCCAATACACCAATTATCTCCACTAGCTTCCTGGTCCTGTGTTGAGTGGCTGTCCTGCTGCATTGCAAACACATGGGGTCACTGGCTTGGTACAGGTGCCATTCATGGAACAATTTCTCAGTGCAAAGTGTTCTCTGATTGGAAATGAGTGGAGTTGCAGAGTGGTGATGTAACAGTCTTGACCTCGTCCAATCAGAGAACACTTTGAATTAATTGATAAAATGCAAAGTGCTCTCTGAATGGCACCTGCACTACAAGGATGAACTCCTGTGTTCAGTAAGCAGCAGGGAAGTAATACGGTGTGGAAACCCAAGAGCTAGTGGAGATCAATGTTGTAGCCATGCCTATTAGAGTGATTTCCAGATTCCACAAGGATCCCACAGGTATGGAAAAATACATACTTACATTGGTCCAAGCCGAACCAATGCAATTATGTAAAAATTGACATACCTTGAATTTAACTTTAAAGTGTTACTAAACCCAGGACCCTGCATTCACTGTATCTGGCCACTGTACACAGAACATGGAAATTAAATTATTTTAGTAAATAAAAACTATTAAATACCTTCTCCCATTAGCAGTTAGAGTAGTCCTGCTTAAAGTTTGTAGGGGGTGTTTTCATTCTCCCCTAATTGTCCTATGAGGCTGCATAACCCCTGACCCTCTGTCTGGATGGCACTGATTGGCCCTGTGCTTATTACATGTACTCTCCCAAGAAAAAAAATAATAACTCCCTAGCAATATAAATCAAGCTGAGCATGTGCAGACTGCCCCCAAGGCTATTAGCAGATGGACTGGGGACAGTAGAAGAAGGGGAGGATCAGAGAAGACAAGATCAAACAGTGTTTTTACACAATGAGGAGGATTAACCCCTTAGGTTCCACAGTGAGTATAACAAGCATGCTTTACTGCATCTACAGACTGATTTTACTGTTGTTGGTTTAGTAACACTTTATATGAGTCTACTGAGCATGGCTGGATTTATGGGGGTGCTGGGGTGGGCTACGCCCCCCCAGATTTTAGTGCCCCACAAAACCAACCCCCCCCCCCCCAATCTGAACATTCTGCCTGCCGCTGAACTATATTGCAGACAGCTTCTCTCTCCTTGCAGCTTTGTAAATGCACAAGTAAATGTCATGCCCAAGTAAATCGATGATCTGGTCAGCAGGGGCCCAGCAAGATGGGGGAAAGCTGCCTGTACCACTACCCTGTCCTCTTCTGCAGGAGGAGCTCTGCTGCCTATGTCAAGGTTGTGTGCAGTGCAGGGATGGGAGAAAGGAGTTCTGCTGAGTGCCCTGCTAGCAGTGACTCCTGTCCTCTGATCTGCCAGCAGTGACCTCTGTCCTCTGACCTGCCTGCAGTGACCCCTGTCATCTGACCTACCAGCGGTGACTTATGTCCTCTTCCTTGCTAGCAGTGACTCCTGTCCTCTGACCTGCAGTAGTGACCTCTGTCCCCTGACCTGCCAGCAGTGACCTCTGTCCTCTGACCTGCCTGCAGTGACCCCTGTCATCTGACCTACCAGCGGTGACTTCTGTCCTCTGCCTTGCTAGCAGTGACTCCTGTCCTCTGACCTGCAGTAGTGACCTCTGTCCTCTGACCTGCCAGCAGTGACCTCTGTCCTCTGACCTGCCAGGAGTGACCTCTGTCCTCTGCCTTGCTAGCAGTGACTCCTGTCCTCTGACCTGCAGTAGTGACTCCTGTCCTCTGACCTGCCAGCAGTGACCTCTGTCCTCTGACCTGCCAGCAGTGACCCCTGTCCTCTGCCCTGCCAGCAGTGACCCCTGTCCTCTGCCTTGCCAGCAGTGACCCCTGTCCTCTGCCCTGCCAGCAGTGACCCCTGTCCTCTGTCCTGCCAGCAGTGACCCCTGTCCTCTGCCCTGCCAGCAGTGACCCCTGTCCTCTGCCCTGGCAGCAGTGACCCCTGTCCTCTGTCCTGCCAGCAGTGACCCCTGTCCTCTGCCCTGCCAGCAGTGACCCCTGTCCTCTACCCTGCCAGCAGTGACCCCTGTCCTCTGCCCTGCCAGCAGTGACCCCTGTCCTCTACCTTGCCAGCAGTGACCCCTGTCCTCTACCTTGCCAGCAGTGACCCCTATCCTCTGCCCTACCAGCAGTGACCCCTGTCCTCTGGCCTACCAGCAGTGACCCCTGTCCTCTGCCCTACCAGCAGTGACCCCTGTCCTCTGCCCTGCCAGCAGTGACCTCTGTCCTCTGCCCTGCCAGCAGTGATCCCTGTCCTCATCTCTGTTGTCTCCTGTACACTGCCCTCTATACACTGCCCTACATAATGCTGACCCTATCTTTTGCCCTGCTGACCCCTTGTACACTGTCCTGCTGATCTCCCATTCTCTGCCCCCTGACATGTTTTACTGCACCCCCACATTAGACAGGCTAGATCCAGCCCTGTTACTGAGGTTGCCTTGCACTGCTTAAACAAAGTCCAGATTTAGGTTCCAGTTAACAGCAATGGACTTAAATTGCTTAGTTCAGGAGTGTCCAACCTTTTGACTTTCCTGGGCCACATTGGAAGAGGAGGAATTGTCTTGGACCACACATAAACCACACTAACGAGAGCTGATGGAGCACAAAAAGTCGAGCAGATCACAAGTTACCGAAAACTGATATAAATAATGTACCTATCTGAGTAATGAAACTTCATTATTTGTAATATTTTTTATTATAAACATTACACTGTTTTTGATGAACTAACATATCAATATCTGGTTAGATGGATACAGTAGCAATTCTCAATAAATGCTCAAATTGCTCATCAGATATTTTGGTTCTAATTTTGCCCTTCGTGTGCTTCATCCTTGAAAATAGTTGCTCGCAAATATAGGCGCTTCCGAAAAACTGAGGACATGAATAAGGCGTGATTGTGAAAGAGTGGAAGATTTTTCTTTGGGAAGATAAAACTTACAAAAGTCCAGTAAAGAGACCCTGTCAAATTTTTCTCCGGCTACATGTGTTTGCTAAGTGTAAATGCATTTTTACAAAAACATTTTTACAAGAAAATCAAAAATTTTAAGTAAGTTTACGATTTTGTGTTGGGTCGCATTCATAGCCATCTTGGGCCGCGGATTGGATATCCCTGGCTTAGTTGTTATTGGCAATAAGAAGACTTTCCCTTGGACTCCATGCACATGGGGTGTTTTGATAACGCTGGTAAGGTTAGCTGTGTAAAGTCATGTTAAAAACTCCACGCATGTGCACTTCGCGGTATCCTTCGCTAGCCTCGAGCATGCACATAGTTTGAAGAGGAGGAGCGGCCACTACTAAGCCAAGCTGAAGTCACCCATATGGTTCACATCAGACAGTGCTTCTTGAAACCAGTAAACCCAAAACAGGTGTGTTTTTAAGGGCAGGACAGCTGTCAGCAACACATCCAATATCATCACACTGATTGGAGTCAAGGTTGGTTCACTCCTGGCTCCAATTAGCTCTGGGAGAAGTCATTAAGCTAGGGCCTCACATACTTTTTCCTCCCTGCACTGTGAATGTTTACATGTTATGTGCAATTAAACCATGGCAACATCTAATGTTTGTGTATTATTATGTTCAGCAGACTGTGTTCTTCTATTGTTGTGACTTAGATGACGTTCAGAGAACATTTTATGCCCAATTCATGCAAAACTCCATGTAATCCCAAGGGGTTCACAGACTTTTTTTCTTGCAATTGTCGGATAACATGCTGGGGATGGACACATAGGATAACACGCCGGGGATGGACACATAGGATAACATGCCGGGGGATGGACACATAGGATAACACGCCGGGGATGGACACATAGGATAACATGCCGGGGATGGACACATAGGATAACATGGTGGATGGACACATGGACACATCGGATAACATGCCGGGGATGGGACACATAGGATAACATGCCGGGGGGATGGACACATAGGATAACATGCCGGGGATGGACACATAGCATAACATGCCGGGGATGGACACATAGGATAACATGCCGGGATGGACACACAGGATAACATGCCGGGGATGGACACGTAGGATAACATGCCGGGGATGGACACGTAGGATAACATGCCGGGGATGGACACATAGGATAACATGCCGGGGATGGACACATAGGATAACATGCCGGGGATGGACACATAGGATAACATGCCGGGGATGGACACGTAGGATAACATGCCGGGGATGGACACACAGGATAACATGCTGGGGATGGACACATAGGATAACATGCCGGGGATGGACACATAGGATAACATGCTGGGGATGGACACATAGGATAACATAACATGCTGGGGGGTTTACTGGCTGTAGACAAAAACGGCAAAAGCCAAAAACAGCCGCTGTAAAAACGTCCCGTGTGCAGGAGGACTTTTTCCTACATGGAGCTCTCTGCTCTATTCTCTGTGGTAGTGAGTGGCACATCACTCATGTAGCTGGTTGCAGGAGTGATGGACAGATTCAAGGCCATAGTGTGGAAGTCCAGACCTGGCTCAGCTCTTTAACATCCTCATCGCTGCCTCTATGATACTTTCATTTAGCTCTTCTCCTCCTAGCTGGAGCTTTTCCTTCATTCAGATCACATTTCAATCTTAGCTGCTCCAGCTGTTTTCTATTTTGTTCACAGAGACGATTAAATATCCACCACTGGGGTTATCTAAAAGCTTCTTTATAAATCAGCAGTGATCACTATGACACAGTATAACTGCTTCCTGATTGCCAGTGTTAAAGCAACCCTGATAGTATTGTAACTTTACTCTGGAAATGCATACCCGCGTTAACCCTGCGGTTCACATCTGCGCGTTTTCTAACCCGGTGCATTTTTTGGACTGTAGACTTCAATGGAAATGCTGCAGAAAAGCATGCAGTGTGTTTTTGATGCGTTTTTGATGCATTTTGCGTTTTAATTCTGTCTCGCAACAAGAAAAATTAAAAATGCGGTAAAAACGTATAAAAAAGGCAGGTGCAAAAACGCGAAACACAATGCAGAAATGGCTGAAACGCAGGGGCGGACTGACAACTCATGGGGCCCCCGGGCAATAGGGGATCACGGGGCCCCTGTGTCCTTGCCCAAATTCAAAAAAGTCTATGAACAAGGTACCAGGGGCATCTCATGGGGCCCCCTACTGACCCTGGGCCCTCGGGCAGTGCCCGAGTTTCCAAATGGTCAGTCCGTCCCTGCTGAAACGCAACCTGCATAGCTGAGAACCTAGCTGCAGCCTGGCTTATCCACATAGGACCACATTGCTCCTGGGTAACTGACCCGCTAAGTGGTGCCCCTTCTCTCCTTAGTAAATCCTTCTTGGATTTTTCGGAGTTAAAGCGGAGTTCCACTCATCCTGTCAAAAAATAAAAGTCAGCATCTACAAAAACTGTAGCTGCTGACTTTTAAAAAACTTACCTGTCCCTTAGTCCCGTGGTGTGGCCCCCGCAGCCCAGCCCGTTTCACCTGCCGTCATGGATTCCTGGAGGCTGGCATCTTCATTTTGGGCACCCGGCTGTGACAGCTTGCGGCTTCACAGCCGGGTACACACTGCGCATGCGCGAGTAGCGCCGCGCTTCATGAATGGTCCTGTAGTCTTCTGGGACCTGTCACGTGTCCCAGAAGACTACGGGCAGGAAAGGAGGGAGGACACCTTCTATTTCCGATTGCCTAGGTGGTCCGACCACAATTGGGAGCCAGTACCTGTCAAATTTGGGTACCCGCTCCCCCCCGCCCCAAAAAGGTGCCAAACCTTAATGGGGAGCGGGGGAGCAGTCCATAAAGCGGAACTTCCCCTTTTGGTTGGAGCTCCGCTTTAAGCCACCTGTCATTCTTTTGCCCCCCTCATGCAGCATTGTCCCGTCTGCTTCTCTGTGCGGACCGGTGCGTGTTTGCCATTGATGTGTTCGGGTGGGGCCACTCCAGGAGATATTTGGGCTTCCTTCCCTGTCTTTCTTTCTTAGCACTTTACCACAATCCTTGCTGTGAGAGGTTCATGAATATTCTCTGCTGCATCATGCGAATCAATACTTTTTAAGCTCCTTGGCAGTCCATGTGCACATCCTCTGCCCCTATACGTCATGCCTCTTTGAGCACCTCTGAGGAAGAGACGACGATTAGTCTCGAAACGCATCAGAACAACATTTGCATGATCGACCTTTTCAGTATTAAGTCTTACATCCTTTGACAATCACTTTCATAATTCATGTATTTCAATGTGTCAGGTCTTTTGTTTGTATAAATAAAACTGAATGTTATGTTTTAATGGTTGATACATTAGTTATTACCGTATTTTTCGCTCCATAAGACGCACCTGACCATAAGACACACCTAGGTTTTAGAGGCAGAAAACAGGAAAAACAAAAATTCTGAACTAATGGACTGCAGACTATAGTACAGGAGATGACCAGAGACTGCGGACAGCACAGGGATGACCATAGACTGCGGACAGCACAGGGATGACCAGAGACTGCGGACAGCACAGAGATGACCAGAGACTGCGGACAGCACAGGGATGACCAGAGACTGCGGACAGTACAGGAGATGACTGCTGACCTTTGGGGAGGTGGGGAGCGGGTACCTGAATTTGACAGGTACCCGCTCTTACTTCCGCAGAGTTTTTGTTTGATCTTACCTGTTCCTCTATCCAGCCGCGTGCTGTCTTCCCGGCTTCTGTAATGGCGCTCGGCATGACAGCCGGGTGCCCAGTGCGCATGAGCGAGAAGCACTTGCGCTTTGTGATTGGTCCGGCGGCTTCTGGGATCTGTCATGTGTCCCAGGTACCGCCTTACCATTCACAAAAAGCACCGCTTCTTGCGCATGCGCACTTGGCACCCGGCTGTCATGCCCAATGCCCACACTACAGAAGCCGGAAGACAGCGCGCCGCTGGATAGAGGAACAGGTAAGATCAAAGAACAAAGTAAGAGCGGGTACCTGTCAAATTCAGGTACCCGCTCCCCAACTCCCCAAAGGTCAGCAGGCATCTCCATAAGGTCCCGCTGCAGAGCTGAGCGGCCGGCCCGGTATTCTGACACGGCCGCGGTGGAAATACGGACCGGCCGCTCCATATTCGCTCCATAAGACGCACTGACATTTTCTCCCCTTTTTTTGGGGGGAAAAAAGTGCGTCTTATGGAGCGAAAAAAAAATACGGTAATTCACAATTTGTGCCTCCAAAGTCCCACTAAGTAGAGAACCTTTCCCCATTCTTTCCGCTAGTATTAAGTTGGGAGTAAGCTCCCTTGGTTGAGTTTTACCTATAGGAAAACCTATAATAAGGCTGACCTAATGGTATAGTAAATACCTCTTAACCATGCACTGTTTAGGAGATATTTAGTCTGGCAGCAGCCAGTGATGTTGCTAAAAGGAAAAGCCATGCCATTCCTTCAGAACCCCTGTGCCATAAAGAACGACTCCCATGCACATGTGCAGAAGTGACATCATTCATACCGTCAAAGCCTGTGAACCGGAAGCAAGACTGGGTGAAACGATGGAGACGCCTACAGCAGTGACCATGTGCTACTAATGGAGGGCTTCATTTTCAGGTACAATAAGTATGTCATAATGTGCTAGTATGCAGTGCATAGAGAGAGATATCATTTCCCCTGCATAAATTGACAGTACAAATCATTAGTATTACCTCATCTGGAATATGCAGTTCAGTTGTGTGGGCACCAATTCACAAAAGAGTCGTAGAACATTGGGGAAACTGGAGCAAGTGCAGAGAAGGCCAACCAAACTGATAGGAGGCATGGAGATCAGCTATGAGGAAAGATTAGAGGAACTGAATTTATTCTCTCTTGAGAGGAGAGGAGATTAAGGGGGGATATGATCTCCATGTATAATACATAAGGGGGGGATATGATCTCCATGTATAATATACATAATGGGGGGATATGATCTCATGTATAATACATAAGGGGGGATATGATCTCCATGTATAATACATAAGAGGGGGATATGATCTCCATGTATAATTACATAAGGGGGGGATATGATCTCCATGTCTAATCCATATTATATGATTATGTATAATACCTATAAGGGGGATTGATCTCCATGTATAATACATAAGGGGGGATATGATCTCCATGTATAATACATAAGGGGGATATGATCACCATGTATAATACATAAGGGGGGGATATGATCTCCATGTATAATACATAAGGGGGGATATGATCTCCATGTATAATAATACATAAGGGGGATATGATCTATGTATCTACCATGTATAATATACATAAGGGGGGGATATGATCTCCATGTATAATACATAAGGGGGATATGATAATACATAAGGGGGGATTGATCTCCATGTATAATACATAAGGGGGGTAATATGATCTCCATGTATAATACATAAGGGGGGGATATGCAATCTATGATCTCCATGTATAATACATAAGGGGGATATGGTATAATATGATCTGATCTCCATGTATAATACATAAGGGGGATATGATCTCCATGTATAATACATAAAGTGGGGGATATGATCTCCATGTATAATACATAAGGGGGGGATATGATCTCCATGTATAATACATAAGGGGGATATTGATCTCCATGTATAATACATAAGGGGGGTATGATCTCCATGTATAATGATCTCCATGTATAATACATAAGGGGGGATATGATCTCCATGTATAATACATAAGGGGGGGATATGATCTCCATGTATAATACATAAGGGGGGGGTTTTAATACTCTCCATGCCTTATAATATGATATCTCCATGTATAATACATAAGGGGGGATATGATCTCCATGTATAATACATAAGGGGGATGATCTCCATGTATAATACATAAGGGGGATATGATCTCCATGTATAATACATAAGGGGGGGATATGATCTCCATGTATAATACATAAGGGGGGATATGATCTCCATGTATAATACATAAGGGGGATATTGAGGGGGGATATGATCTCCATGTATAATACATAAGGGTGGGTATAATATACATAAGGGGGGATATGATCTCCATGTATAATACATAAGGGGGATATGATCTCCATGTATAATACATAATATCTTCATGTATAAGGGGGGATATGATCTCCATGTATAATACATAAGGGGGGATATGATCTCCATGTATAATACATGTGTATAATACATAAGGGGGGATATGATCTCCATGTATAATACATAAGGG